GCCCCGGCCGTTGGTTCAAACGCCAACGGTCACCGCAGGGCAGGGGCGCGTGGAGGAGCTGGGGACGGGCACTAGCCACACAGCAGGTATCAGACTCGGCTGCAGAAGATATTTACCCCTATACAGAAATGCCATAAAACAACAGTTATAGCATAGTCACACAGACACTGATACTCAGAAGTTAGTTCTCAGCTCACAGGCCCTGCCTCTCGGCAAAGGCCCCCATTTCTAGCTGAACCTATTCAAATGAGAGAGGGGGGAAAAGTAAGTTCTGTGAAAAAGTAATCTATAAATTTGAGTATGTATTTCACTAGCACTGGATGGTGTGATAACATTCCTACAGCTGTTTAGTAACAGTTTGGCCAGCTACTTTTTAAATTTAGTGTTCCCACCCCCCACCTTTAAGTCACAAATAATGAAGCTGTGATTCTTCTCTGATAAAATTTCTGAATACAGACCTGGTCCCTAAGCCTGAATCTTTTGCATGGGTAGGGTCCATCAGAGAACTGCACAGAGGTGTATGAGTAAAGTATTTCCAGAATGGAGTTCTTAAATTTTATCCTCTCAATTATAACTGTAGATGCATTCATGTATTAGCTTGAAACATGGCACAGATAGCAACATAAGACCACTCTCATTGTTTCTCAAGCTGCACAGAGGATAAGACTACAAGCTCCACCAACAGGTTTTTACCAAAAAGATAAAAAACTGACATATTGCTTCAACAGCTTTTGAACCCTAAAGCAAATATGACTGCCTTGTCACAAGAATGTCACAAGTATTTAAATGCTAATTTAAAATGTAATTATAAATCACCATAATACTATTATAGTAGCAATGACTTATTTGCAATGCCATATGTTCTATTCTAAAAGCTAGTAATATTTTTGTTACATTAACATTTTGAATCTGAACTTTTGATAACTGATTTAATGTAGCAATTATTCTGACATGAATTCACACCCATCTGAGCAGGTATGTACCTTAGATACTGCTTGCAGGGATCTTCTCATGCTGTTGGAAAGTGGATTACAGCAAAATTAATGGAAAGAATGAAAGAATAGAAAAGAAAGAGAATAGAATAGAAAGAATAGAATAGAAAGAGCATACTCGACAAGAAATGGGTAGGACAAAATTATTGTCTATGCTTTTTTCTTCATTAAAATTCCATAGTTATGCACAGTTATGTGCTAATAGGGTTGTCAGGCCTTTCTCACTTATACACCAATTTTCTACAAATAAACTACTTGTTAGATTATTATAATTGATGCTGAAGCAATTGGGACTAGGAGACCCAAAAGTCTGCTCCTTCGGCTCTTGTTCATCAGTTAGTTTCTGTAGTAAACTATTTTTTCTCCTGGAAAGAAATAGTTATAATCCCCAAAACACTAATTCCGTGTATTTTTTTTTTTTTGCTTGTAGAAATAATTATTCATTGAATATGGAGGGCAGAGCCAGATCAAAAGAAATACTTATCCCTGAAAACATGAAACCTGAAGTTAAAAAAGAAAACATAATTTTTGCTAAGAGCATATCTATTAGAAACACTAATTTAGGTTAACTTGACAATTATTACAGTACTACTCAGCAAGCTGAATACACATAGTAACAAAACATCACTTCCAGTTTTGTAGAACCTCTTCAAAGTGTAAAATGCCATGCTACTGAAAAAAGCATGTATTTAAGTGCTTAGAAACATTCCAGAAAAAAATGACTTGTTTCTTCTTGCTGCACTTCAGTTTTCTTTCATCAAAATTAGTTATGAAAATTTAAATTGCTACTTTAAAACTTAGAGTGCAAAAGGATATTAAAAGTGTATACTGATAAAAGCCACCAAAAATAACATTTTAAAGCTTCTTTTCATCATGCTTTTTTGTTTCTTGGCTGGAAGAATTTGTGTAGGCCCTTTTTTTTTCCCAGAAATAAAAAGTCAGGTTAAAAATTGAGCTACTTAAATAAAGACCTCTACATGCCAGAGTATCACTCTATGCAAGTACAATATCCTTATATTTGAGGGGCACATGCTTAAGTAAATAAGTCCCTACTGAAAACATGTGGGCAGTCAGAGCAAGGAATTTTTAAGAACAAAGTTTCTTTGTTCTTGGTTACATTAAAAAAAGCAAAAACAGCAATAAATTTAATTTTTTCATGCACCAATTAAACACATTGTAATGAAGCATGCCATCATTTCAGTAGTCAACTAGCAATCTTTAGAAAAAAACTTTTTAGAAAAAAGTGCTCTCACACAGTGCTGGGTAAAGCTTAGTGCTATAGGTCAGAGAGCAGTACGAGCTAACTGCTGCCTGAGTGGAGGATTACTGAGAAAAACCCCACTGGATGGACAGCCCCACCATACCTAAGCAAGACAAGATGGCTGCCAGCTCTGACCAGAAATCCCTTTTCTCAGTGATGAAACAGATCTAAGATCAAGCCAGGCACACAAGTCCATGATACAGAACCAGGTCCAGTGATAGTCAATTAGGGCAACCACAGCCCAGTAACCTATAGGAAAAACATGGAGCTAAAAAACAACTGAGGTAGAACCATGAAATCACATCAATAAAGCACATAGAACCAGCTAGAGTCCTGAAAGGAAGTAAAAGCCTCTGGCTGAGCTTAAATAAGATCCTGAGCTCGTGTGCAAGGGCTTGTGGGTAGGGTGCAGGTGGTGCCCATCAGGGCCCTTACGGTTTATTATTGCCCTCAGATGCCTATTGTTGTCTTTGGGCCTTGGGGGAGGTGGTGTTCTGTTTTTGCTGTGTGCTCTGTGGTTTAGGATGGGTAAATGGCTAAGCTAGTGGTTGTTTTGTGTGTTGAAACTGTATCTGGGAGGCTAGTTAAGTGTTCTCATTTTTGGGGGGAAATGGGGGGTGGGTTAATAACTCTTGTTTTGTTAGCATTGAAATTTTGTGTTGTTAAAAATAGGTTGCTTTAACTGTTTGATGAACTATCTCTTCTCTTTTAGTTTTTTTTTTTTTAAGTTATAATGTTTGGTAGGAGAGAAGTATGGGAATAGGTGTGTATTTCTGTTTTACACTAATGGTTTAATTAAGGATATTTTATTTCTACTAAGAAGTACCTTGTATGCCTACTAAAAAAAAAGTTTTCTTCCCTGATGGTAGGTTGATTGTTAAACAGTTATTGAATGCTAAATTAATTTTAGCAATAAATATCTAAAAATAAAATATGCTTAGCAGAGGCTCTTCTTTTCCTGCAAAGGTTTTTTGGGGAGTTACATAGTAAAATTGCTAGTTTAAAGTAAATGTCAGCGATGACTAGCATACCTATTGTATATAATCCATAAATGATGTATATGAAAGACTGTAGAGATGTCTAATAAAACTGCAGCTTTGAAATGAAAACAAAGTATTATTGACAGCACATGTAGCTTGTTTGTTAGAGTGCATTAGCGTCTTAAAAATCACATCAAGGTTATATATAAAGAAATGCATTTTTTTGATTTATGTGTGATTAATTTAAAGAGTTAGGGTGTTCTATGTGGGTTTGGGGTTTTTTCTTGTTTGTTTTTCAGAAAGTCTGAAAAAGTCTGAAAGTCTTGCTCAGTAGAGCAAGAGTTTTTTATGGTAGTAGTGAGGAGGAAGAGTTTTTTTTTTTTTTTTTTCTTCTGCCAGAGGTTTCTGCCAGAAAGTTTTTTCTTGGGGGAGGGAGGAGGGAAAGAAAAAGGTAGAAAATTTAGAAAAACTAAGCAAGTTTCTTTAATGAACTAATTTGAAAAGTGTTTTTTTTCTAGACGAAACTTTCTGACTTCCAAGTGAATGCTAATGTGTACTTGTAATTAATGTTAAGAGTTCTTCAGACTTAAGAATAGGTACAGAAAGCCATGTTATCTGCTGTTGTAGTTGCACTTTTGAAAAGCTGTGATGATACTAGATGGATAATGTCTATCTCTAAATTATTTTCTTCTTGTTCTGTGTCACTATTAAAACATTCCCTGAATTCTGTGCATGTTTGGGGCAGGGAGGGAGGTAACTTGACTTTTTAGCAGAAAGTTTAAGGAAAGGAAAACAAATTATACAAGCAAGTACTCGAGCAAAGAAGTCAGTTCCAAAAATAACAGTGAACACTTGTGCTGAAATTCTCAGAAAGGATGAAGCCTGAGAATCAGCCTGAAGATGAAGAAAGCTTTTGGGGTATGTCCAAAAATCTTTCTCAGTTTCCTGTGGTTAGTTGTTTTTGTCAAATTCATTAACATGCAGTATAATGTAATGTAACAATATAATGTAAGTTACCTATTGACTTCTATTTATAGAGTATAAATAGGAAAAAAAAATCCTTGTCCCTAACATTTGTGCTATTTTCTTTGATGTTTTTGTTTCTATGTATATTTTCATTTTCTATTCTACCCAGACTTTTCACTGTTGATTTTAAGCACTTGATATGGCAGTGCTTACACAGAACAATGCCCTTTTTTGGGGGAGGGGAAGGGAGGATTGGGGAGGAAACGGAGAACTCTCCTGCAAAATGAAATTGTAATGATCTGTTCAATATCCTATGGCTGCAAATAACATCCAATCACTGTGTGTTATTTTGGTTTTGGTTTTTGTTTTTAATTGATGTACTTATATCAATTTCTTTTGCAGAATGAAGAGCTATTCTGAAAATATGGTCTTTTTCTATGGTGCTTGAAGATATCAAGAGTTAAACCCGAGATCTGTATGAGAGAAGAAAAAAGTAGCATGTCATGGATGTTGTGGTATGTTTTATTTTCTTAAATTGTTTTCTAGAGATGAAAAATAATTTTTTCAATTACTGTCAGTCTGGCAAAGCTGAAGATATGCCCTTTGTTAGGGTTGTCAAGTTTAAGGTATTCCAGACAATGACAAGACTTTACTGTTTTAAAAAGCTTTGCAG